AGAGGGTTGTTTCTTGGAGGGGGTCGTGGGGGACGAGGGGCGGCGAGGGGATGTGGTACTTCACGAGGATTGTGTCGCCGGTGCCGTCGTCGGTGTCTGAGGAGGCCTCGGCGCTGGACACGATCTCCTGGGAGAAGAGAGCTGTTTGGGGACAGGATGATAATTGGAGCTTCCGCAGAGAGGAGTCTTCGTTTACTTTGAAGAGCATATAGGTCCTGTCGTGGAGGATGCCTTGAGGGGTGAGGATCGCGGAGGTGAGGGGGACCGGGCGGAGGGCTTTGATTGGGTAGACGTTTAGGGCCTTGATCTCCATTGTGTAGACAGTATTGAGGAGGAGAGTGCCGCTGGCGTTAGGAGTTACAATTGAATTGATACGGAATGGTGTGTCATATGCGATTGGCAGCTAGTCACAGACAGATGGCACTTTGGGCGGTGATGTCGGTGTGAGGTTGGTTGAGAGTTTGGAGGGGCAGCATATGTCGTCAGTCGTCGATCGGGGTTTGGTTCACGCAGCGGGCAAAGCTTATCCAATGCCTGGGGTTTGGCTTTTTTGACGTGAGCAATGTGGAGCAGGGATGATCCTGAAGGTTCTCATGTTGGCTGGAGGAGGGGATCGGATACGGAACCCGATGATCAGCTACGGGAGGGCTTGATATGCTTTCTCTGCCAAATCATACACTGCACGTTAAAAATGTTGCATCCTGGAGGAATTCTGCCTCTGACGGATTGGTTTCCTGAGTTATATTCTGCCCGGGTAGAATATTCGGTTAAATCAAGCGATAGATGTGATTTCAGTTTTTGGTCGTCTTTTTCCCTCAAGGCGGGTTTAACGGGAACGCATCCCGGGAATAATGCATCGCAGGACGGGCAATCGGTATTTGAATACTGCAAGATAGGCTAGATAGCGAGCTGCAATTGCGTGACGGTGACGGCGATTGCGCCGGGCTTCGGGAGAGAAGACCCCGCATCGGGATCGGAGGTGCCGATTGCGGAGAATGGTGCTTGGTGGGCTGGTTTGCTGGCGTTGTCTGTTGATGGTAGCTGAGGATCAGAGGGCTGGTGGCGGGTCGTCCCGCGGCTAGCCGGCGACACGAGAAGCGAAGAAACGAGATTTGAAACCATTTTACCTGCGGCACGAGATAGATGCAGGTGCAGGTGTGTCTTGAAGGTTTGCGAAAGGAACGGTAAATGAGGACCGGCGCGGCCCCGCCTGCTCCGCCCCGAATAAACGCCCGTACCAGACACCCCCGGTCTGGCGGGTACCCCGGAGGAGCGAGCTGTTCCGAGAAGGGAAACTAGGTGGGATCCGATTGGTTCGCTCTCGCTGTCGCAAGCTGCTGCTGATCTCTAGCCCCTGAACGAGGGAGATGGTGTTGGTGCCTAACGGCCATGGATTCTTTATTTTTTTCTGATAGCTGTGGGAAATAATTGAAAAAGAATTGCGGATAAAATCACGAAAAACAGAGAGGCAAGTAAAACTCAAGATCCTCATGCAAAACGTGCTTGCATCATGGTCATGTTCGAGTTCCCCTGACTAGTGAACTGGTTACCTAAAATGGCAACTGTGCAGGTGCTCTAGCTTGGGATTCCGAATCTTGCTTTTCCTTCAAGATGTTAGCGCAGCTGTCAGGAGGAGACAAAGTGGTTCCTCGAGAGGGGTCTCGCGCGTTAGCTGGGCTCTCAGGAGGAGTCCAGGCCTGGTTGGATGCCATCGGTGACGCGTAGATCTTGAGGGGTTGGGTGTGATAAGACGCATCGGAAGGGCGTCCGCGATGCTGAAGATGAGTTGCCGAGGTAAACATGCCCGTCGCCGTCCTTGAAAGGGAGTATTCTTTTTCCATGCGTACGATTCTTCCCTTCCAACGGATGGTTCCTCCATGGGGATCCGCGCAGGGTGTGTATAGATTTGGCCGTGTCGGAGATGTGACGAGATGCGCCTGGAGCAGGAGGGGGACTCGGAGCGGGCGTTGGGGCCGGAGGAGGATGCTATAATGGGAATCATCTTCAAGTCTTGGATCGGTGAAATGCTCGGGGGCGAAAAAAACGGCATGGAGCGGTTGATGTTCTTGTATGTCAGGGCTAGCTTTCCTGATTCAGAGTCGTTCTGCAGGTGAACAGGGTGTCTTCGTGTATATCCAGATTACGCGGCTTGGTGCATCTCGTCATGGCCTTGGCATTCCCGTGGGAAGTGGAGGGTGTGATTCCGCATGTTCGTGAAACTTGCGGTCTAGACTTCCGCGCATGGGGTGGTGTTAGTGCACTCGGCATGCCGACGGGATCCTTGAGTTGCCGGTGCGGCCAGCGGGTGGTTTAGGCTGTTGGAGCGTCCTCGTGGACTGTGATGGATGGGCAGATGGCAATTTAGCAGTCTTGGCCTGTATGGGGTTAAAGCCAGGACCAGTCTGGCCTGGATTTGGACTTTGTTAGACGAGACATGAGGCCGGATGCGTTGCTCCGTGGTGTTCTCAAGTTATCGTGGCTCGCCCCCTATCTGCCCCTGGATGCGTCCGCAGAAGTGTAAACGGTGCTTTGGATCGGAAGGTAGTACTGCTTCTGTCGTTTAGCCGCAATGATCTGACTACCAAGAGTATTGTAAACGGTCAGAGACCTTGATACGGACAGGACCGGTTAATTGGTTTTTCAATAATATTCCTTGTCGAAGCACGTTGTTAACAGCATGCTAAAGTCTAACCCCGTGCCCTTTGAGCGCTACATAACCAAGAATAGGCCAATATCCAACGCCGGTTCAGGACTTGTAAACCGTTGCGAACCTGGCCTCCAGATCCGCCTCAGTCAGGACAGGCACGCCCACGAGTTCGTTGTCGACTTGCTCATACGCAGATTCGTAGCGGCCACTCAAGACCCCAGCCTTGATGGCACCCATGATTTTGCCCTCGTTGTAGGGGTCCTCCTTCACACCATTCAGGGCCTCAGCGAACGCGGCCTCTCCTTCCAGCTCAATCTCCTTCCACTCAGTGCCCGGCGGCGAGTACTTCTTGGCCAGTTCGTACAGCCGCCTCTGGGTCACCACCAGCTCGTGGACCTTGATGTTGCGGTTCCTGGTCGCCTTGGGGTTCTTCAGGGCACCCGCCACCGCCTTGCCGATGGAGGAGACGCTGGTGGTGCTCAGACGGTGGCGGCCGCCGTCCCAGAGCTCGACGGTCTTGTTCGCATAGTCGAACGCGACGGGGACCGTGGTCAGGAAGTCGAGGAACGCCCCGACGGAGAAGATGGTGTGCTCGATCTCACCGGTGCGGGCCTTGTCGGTGAGGTACCTCTGGACGTCGAGCATGGGGCCCAGTACGGGGACGAGCTCGCGCTGGGCCTTGGGGTCGGTGGTGAAGGTGCCCCAATCCGAGGGGATGTAGCGCTTCACGCCGGCCTTGATGCTGGCGTCGATGACTGTGTTCTGCGTGAGGAGACCGCCTTTGCTGACGGTGGAGACGACCGCGTCTTGGCCGCGGAGGGCGGCGGCGAGGTCGTCGACGGAAGAGTAGTCTACCGTCGCGAATTTGACGCCCGAGGGAAGACCTTCCTTGGCGGACTCGGAGCGGCCGAGAACGGTGACTGTGAGTCCGGCATTGGCGAGCTCTGTCAGAATGGCGGATCCAAGAAATCCTTTCTGTGTAGAGATGCATGTTAGGCGATTTGGGTGTACTTAGTTTTAGACCATGTGGACTTACACCGAGGAGGGCAACGTTCTGGTAGGTGCTCATCTTGACGGTTGACGATCACTGAAGTGATGAAAGTGTAGTTTGATGTTAGCTGCTGTGATGATGAACTGAGTGATGGCGATGATCCATTCGTTGTTGCCTGGGTTGACAGTCCCGTATTATACCATCCGAGTGATTCTGTAAGTACGCCTCCCACTCACGGAGTGGGACTTTGAGGGTTTCGACATTCTGGGATATTATTCAGCCCAGCTTCTACAAGTTCATGCTCAACCGTGGTGTTTAGTGCCATCCCAGGAAAGAGTTCGACTGACTTTTGCTCCCGCCCATCGCGCCATCGCAGCAAACCCGAGGAGGAGACATTCCTGCGCTGGAGGAGACAAGGGGGCCCATGTGAAGCTGGCGGGGATTTGATTCCGCCCGCCTGGCTTTTGATCCCGCCAACCAATGAACGTCAGAGATCTAAGCCGTTTCCGGCGTTGACATGGGCGGGACGGCGGGTTGGGGTAAGCTGAGCGGATGCAGATTGCTTACTAAATTTGCTCCCGCTCACCACTTACATAGCCGCTTGCCTTCCACGACTGACCTCAGCGGACTCTTTTCATCTAAACTCGCGGATCCTTTGCTGCAATCTTTGCGTCTGTGTCGATTCCACTGGCCGAACGAATATGGCTAGTGCCGCGGATGATGCCGCCGCCGTTGAGGATGCGGAGGAGCCCCCCAAGAAGCGGATCTACAGTGTAAGTGTAAGCCCGGGCGGATGCATTTGTTGGAGAGTCTCTAAACGCGGCCACAGGCATGCCTACACTGTCAATCACGCAAGAGAAGATGCGATGGCGGCGAGCCGACGTGCGGGCTCTGCACCAGGCTTGGTGTACAGTGTGTCTACACGCAACGAAGACGCCGTGGTCCTGGGAAGCAGTCCGTCACCATACCCTGCGTAAAGAGTCAGACGCTAACTTTCTGTGGAGAAATAAACCCGCTGTTGATGCGGAAGCAAAGCTGAGAGCCATAGAGACATCGCTGGAGCGGATGGCGCAACTGCACGTCACCGATGGAGGAGCATCAAGCAGTGGTCCCGGCCGGACTCAACTTCCTTCAGAAGGTTGGTCCACTTACACACGGGCTGGTCAGAAACATTCTGCTAATCCCCATGAAGCCACTCTGCCACCTGTGACAGCAAGTGTCGACGATACAGCCAAGGACGTAGACAGACCTGCCCATGATGACCTTGCCAACTCGTCCCGGGACCCTCTCCCGACGAGTAGCCTGCCTTCTCGCTTCCCGCCATTGCGAGATCTCTTCTCGGGACCCCAGCTGATATCCACGATGCGCGCCATCAGAAGCGACATGGAATCACGCATGGACCACTCCCCTTTCAAGAGGAGAGCGTTCACGAGCTTCCCTCCTCCAGAGTATCTCCTCGACCTGGAACAGGCCGTCATCGAGGACATCCAACTGTTCTGTCCGACCATCACCCGCAAGCAATTCCTGGAGCTCGCCGAACAGCAGTACACAGGCGGCGCCCGCGAGAAGACGGCCATCGACGATCCCGCCCGGTGGGCCATCATCAACGCCCTCTTCGCGACGGCGGTCCAGTGGAGGACGGCGAACGATTCCTTCGAGGACATGTCGCCCATGAGCTGGGGCTACTTCAAGAACGCCTTCTCCGTATTCCCGGAGCTGCTCATTTCCGGAGGGGGCGTATCGACGGTTGAAGCAATGCTAACTATGGCCACGTTCCTTTTGGGGACGACAGACGCCAGAACAACGTTGCAGGTGGCCTCTTCCGCTGCTAGGACGGCGCAGATGATGGGCCTGCATAGGAGGGAGGCGTATACCAAGCTAGACGCTGCACAGTCGAGGCAACATCGGCGCGCGTGCTGGGTCGCGTTCATCGTCGACACGGAAATGGCAGTCCGGTTCGGCATCTCGCCGTCCTTCAACCTGTCTCAGATGAACGCAGACCTCCCAGACGAGGGTCTGGCCTCTTTCAACCATGCAATAGGCATAACCTGCGCAGAGAAAACGCAGTGCTACGTCAGGAAGCTGGCAGAGCTGTCGCGAATAAGGTACAAGATCCACGATCAGCTTTCCATCGACAGTATCAAAACCCAGGCTGGACCACACCACCAGGCGGCCGTCCTGGCTTTAAGTGCCGAGCTGGAAGCGTGGAGGAACACGTTCCCGGAACACTTGAGACCTAAACTCACGGCAGTCGTGCATGACAGGGAACTCGAGACTCATGTTGTGCTCCTCCACGTTTACTATTTCGACGCCTTGATCAAGATCCACACGAACCTGGCCCGCCTCAAGAGCGTTTCAAGCCACAGCCTGACGCTCTGCCAGAACCCCAGCTGGGAGGCCAGCCAGAGTTCGTATCCCAATGTGCAAGACGCGTATGAAAAGTGCACAGCGGCTGCCCGTGCTACGGTTGAGATTCTACGGGTGACGCCTCCGCATTCATTCGTACATCTATGGTAAGTGTTGTTCTGGTCCATGACGGCCATTCTTTTATGCTGGTCAACTAACATCAATACCTCAAGGGCCATGATTTGCTACCCGGTTGCATCGTGCCTGATTCTCCTCTGGTCCGCCCTCGAAGACTCCACAGGCGCGGAAGCGCACGTCAACGTCAGGGTCCTCGGCCAATTTGTGCAGTTCCTCGCAGGGCTCCGGGAAGAAGGCTGCGACGTCCGGAACCTGTTGGACGGCTGCTCCAAGTTCTTCAAGATTGCAAAGTACGTCGTGCACACGCAACGCACGATCAGGCTCACGAGGCCTCTGGACGAAGACGAGAACGTGAGGGAGCAGCTTGAGGTGAGTTCCCCAAAGTTCTGTCTTGTAATTTGGGGTTTCTGTGTGTTTATAGCTGCTGACCTGGTTAACTGTTCTGGCAGACTCTGCGGCTCAAGCTCTCGGGTGTCGCGGATTGGACACATCTGGCCCAGGGGCTGTTGAGCAACATGCCATCATTGTGTGCCCAGGCGCGAGATGTTTTCTCGGATATTCTGGAGAGTGAGAAGCCGGGATCAGACGGGTATGGGCCGTTGGCGGCAGACATGTTGAAGCCGCATAATCACAATTTCTGCTTCGGTCCTTGACCTCGGCCTGCAAAACATATGCCAGTTCATGCGATGGGTCGTTTAATAGAAGATTCAACTTCCATGCTCTTTGACACTTTGCACCTCAGTCTTAGGACTCTTGAAGGCCGGAGTGAAGTGGTTTATGGAAGGAGTTGAGGATATATCTGCGTCCGTTGCCAGGCCAATTGACCTATTCTTTTCACCCGGCGCCGGCGCCGACCCCTCACAAACCGTCAGACGCATCTATAACTTCTCGTCTAGACAATGTGATGGGAAATATCTAGCATCGCTGTGTTCAACCTTGGGCATGTAATATTACTCCCACTGGGCTACACGCAGCGACTTAGATAGTTTGAAACGACAGAAGCTTCTTGGACGTGGATGAGCCTTAACTGCGATAACTCAGCCGATACAGCGTAGACGGAGGCTGAGATAGAAATTATGGATCAAATCTATTCACGTGCACAAACTTTTGCTCTCGCGATTCGGTTCAGGCACAGAACATCAGCTGAAGTTTCCATATTTTGGGGAAAGTGACATAAGGAAACGCCACCAACGACATTTGTTTACAATCGTATCGACGGGAAGATATACACACGTGTGGGACTACGTGTTTGGGTTTCATCTGACGGCTATGTCTTCGAATACCCAGTTTCTGTTTCCAGAATCGTGAAATTGGTCAACCGGTCAATCGGTCAACCATGTCAAAACCCATCTCTCGTAAACTTACCGAGCTTGCAACATTGTCGAGATACCCGCCTGGCAACAGCACTTATCCTCAAATTGTCTCAAGAGTAAGACGCAACTAAGAGGCCCTGCCTGCTCTTGCGCTCTTTTTCAATGTCATGGTCCACCACACCAAAACTTTCATCCCTCCACTCCCAATACCCGCTCACATCATCTAATGACATCAACAGCATCCCCGGCAATACAGTCAACCAAACCAACGCGTCATTACCAACGGAACCCCCCGGTCCCCATACGTGGGAAATTCTCCCGCAGCCCTTCGATACTATGTTACACCGACGCAACGCCAAAAGCCCAAAGACTCGGGCAAGACGGCAACGCACTGCAACGTACGTAGGTAGGTCACATTACGGATGCCCCCACACCGCAAAAAAAGATGCATGTCCCCCAAGAGACCGCTCTCTATCTGGCTTTTTTCCTTTACTCGCTAGCGCTTGGCTAAACGAGGAAAACCAAATGGCGGTGCCTGGATGGTGTGGCAGGCTCGGTGCGTGATGCCCCGAAGTGGCCCGGGGAAACCCCAGCTGCCCCCAAAACAAACAGCTCGTGTGCGTGCGGAGAAGCAGGTGTTCCCCGGACGCTCATCTCCAAAGAGGCGGGGTCCCCGCTTCGACAGTCCAAGAGATGGACCAACCCATGCCCCAATTGGCGAATGACCACCGTTGAATTTTCACAATCTGCCCGCCGTTCCGCGGGAGAGCAGAGCTCATTTCTCCACGCAGGCATGGCCGTCCCTGTCTGTCAACCCACGAGGACAACAAGCGGTGGTAGGTAGGTAGACCAGACGAACACCCCCCCATGTTTCTAACGCTTTCCCCAACCTCTCCCTCTCTCTGGGGTGCGGGGGAAATCTCTCCCCTGGGTCCCAGGAAATGACAACACGGAGATGAGTCGCCCGAGAGCCAAGAGACTTGTTGAACCCTCTCCCCAGACGCGGGTGATCTTCAGTATATAAACGAAACCCTCACGCTCGCCGCTCCCACCGGCTCTCGAAGTTCTGGTAGACACCCGACGTCCGACGAGTCGAGCCGTCCCCTTCCTTCTCTACCACCAGATCGTTGTGTGAACCCGGGAGAGAGATACACACTCTCACACAATGCGGCCTTCCACCTTCCGCCGCGCAGGCCTCGGCCTCGCCCTGTCCGCCCTCTCGGCGACGACGAACGCCCTCCTCAACGCAACCGAGACCTCCAACCGGCTCATCATCGCCAACGACCGCCTCCGCGCCGCCATCGCCAAGCCCGGCGGCTCCATCGTCGAGCTCACCCTCGACGGCGTCAACCTCCTCGGCACCCCCTCCGGCGCCACCGGCCAGGGGCCCTACCTCGACTGCTACTGCACCCCCGAGGGCTTCTGGACCCCCGGCTCCGTCGCCCCCGTCTTCGAGCTCTACAACGGCACCGACTCCGCCGGCGTCCCCTACGGCGGCGTCCGCATGTCCGACACCTACGCCTCCACCGGCCAGCTGCTCGAGCAGTACTGGTTCCTCCGCGAGGGCGAGACCGGCCTGCACATGTTCTCCCGCGTCGCCTACCACAACGAGACCGCCCCCTTCCTGCGCAACCTGCAGGAGCTGCGCACCCTCTTCCGCCCCAACGACCCCATGTGGACGCACCTCCTGACCAACCGCGAGCACTACGCGCCCCTGCCGTCCAAGGACGCCGTCGCCAAGCAGGTCGTCGTCCAGGACGCCACCTGGTACCTCGGCAACACCCCCAACGACCCCTACGTCCAGCAGGAGGCCGACTGGTTCACAAAGTACACCTTCCAGGACACCTGGCGCGACATCGACGCCTACGGCATGTTCGCCGACGGCTCCAAGACGGCCGACAACTCCACCTTCGGCGCCTGGATGGTCTTCAACACGCGCGACACCTACTTCGGCGGGCCCCTGCACTCGGACCTGACCGTCGACGGCATCGTCTACAACTACATCTCCTCCAACCACCACGGCGACCAGACCCCCAACATCACAAACGGCTTTGACCGCACCTTCGGCCCCCAGTACTACCACTTCAACCGCGCCCCCGCCGGCACCGACATCCTCGAGCTGCACGCCGAGGCCGCCAAGCTCGCCGACCCCGAGTGGAACGCCGCCTTCTACGACGACATCGCCCACCTCGTGCCCAACTACGTCCCCTCCGCCGGCCGCACCACCTGGAAGCTGCACGTCGACCTCCCGCAGGGCGCGTTCAAGCCCATCGCCGTGCTCGCGCAGAACGGCGTCGACTTCCAGGACAACGTCTTCGACACCAAGGCGTACCAGTACTGGGCCGACGTCGACGCCGACGGCTACGCGACGATCCCGCGCGTCAAGGAGGGCACCTACCGCCTGACCATCTACGCCGACGGCGTCTTCGGGCAGTACGTCAAGGACGACGTCGCCGTTGTCGCGGGCGAGGTGCACACCACGCACGCGCGCTGGCGCGAGGAGACGGCCGGCACGGAGGTCTTCCGCATCGGCACGCCGGACAAGAGCTCCGGCGAGTACCGTCATGGCTACGCACGCGACGCCACGAAGCCGCTGCACCCGGAGGAGTACCGCATCTACTGGGCGCGGTACGACTTCCCGACCGAGTTCCCCGAGGGCGTGCGGTTCAAGGTGGGCGAGGACGACGTCGCCACGGACCTCAACTACGTGCACTGGGCGGTGTTCGGCGGCAAGGGCAACTCGCTCCGGCCGGAGATGTATCTCGGCGACGGCAACGTGAACAACTGGACGCTCGCGTTCGACCTCGAGCAGGCGCAGGTGGAGCGCAAGCGGTACGCGACCTTCACGGTGCAGCTCGCGGGCGCAAAGACGGCGGCGGGCAACACGGACGTCTTCAACGCCAGCGAGCCGCACTCGAACCTCAAGTACACGGTCAACGTCAACGGCAAGGACCTGGAGCCGTGGGTGATCCCGTACTACCGGAGCAGCTCGTGCGCCGTGCGGTCGGCCGTCATCTGCTACAACGTCGCCAACAAGTTCGTCTTCGACTCGAAGCTGCTCAAGGCCGGCGAGAACGAGATCGTCCTGAGCCTGCCCTACGGCGCCACGGACTACGAGAGCGCCGTTCTCACGGAGGCCATCTACGTGCAGTACGATGCGCTGCGTCTCGAGATCATGTAAGGACTAAGCTAGGCATGGGAACGCGGGAGATCTATTAATTGTTAATGAAAAAAAAAAAAAAGTTCAATCAGAGAGGCATTTGCTTTTTCCGGGAAACGTTGTATGTGATGATGTTTCGCGCGTGCCGGGGACCCGGGACTTCTCCGGAGGTGTGACTAAGGTAAGAGACAAAATGACTTTTGATGTGCGATCGGATCGACGTCTGTTTCACGATTGTCAAAGACAATGAGTGATACGGCCAAGCCGCGTTACGCTGCGAGCTGCGTCTGCGATAAGCCCGACCGGAACACCAAAGACGCGTGGATGTGTTTCCAGGAGGTCCGGCCCAGGGGTCTGTTTTGGCTTGTGATCTGGTTCATACTTTGGCTGTCGCATACAAGTGGGATTTTTGCACATGGTGCTGATCGCATACCCAGAAAAAAAAAAGGAATCCAATGTTTCAACTTATCGACATTTCAATATGGATCTTTTCTGGGCGGTGGCGGTGGCTGCAATATTCGACATTGAAGCAATATTGCACGACGCCTCGCAAGCTATTGCGCGTTGGTATGGAGTAAATGTGGACGGGATGCGGCGTGTCACCTCGATTGACTTTTTTTTGCCAACAGTCTCTATGGTTTCGAGGTGTTTTGCTGGCGTCGGAATCACACAGAGACTGACTCTCGCTCGTCTCGGCCGGGTAAGAGGGCCGGCCTTGGGGGAGAGACCGTACGGTCGGTCACACTCGGAAACCCGGCTGAGTCCTTGAACGGCGATTGTTGCGCAAACCCGCCTCAGAAATGCGAGCCCGAACGTCAAAGAAGGTTTCGTCATATGGTTTAGCCGCTGCGTTGACAAGCAAGAGCTGAGGCTTGCGGTCGGAAGATTTTGTCTTGGCTGGGCGTATGGGAGCCACGCATTTTGCAGCGTCGAGCACCGCCCGTATGCATGTAAGTTGCTAGGTGCATGAGGACAGCAGGCAGTCGTAGGATTTACCGTGCTGTGTAGTCGTTTGCTGCTGCGTCTGCTCTGCCGTTGCTGCTGTGCCGCGACATGACATGCCGTGCTTTGCTGAGCTGGCTAGACATGCAGTTGCCAAGGTTTAGTGAGCAGTCAGCAGCAGCTAGGCCGCTCCCGGCAACGGATCGGCGTCCACGTCTGTCCCGGAAAGCCCAAGATG